CAATATTCATTTCTAAATGCTCCCAAACCCATTCCTGGGGCCTGGCTTTTGAAACAAAATCTTCATCAAAGCCTGAAGCAAGGAAGAGAGCTTGGGAAATATTTGGCAGAGTTCACTAACTGAACTACAATCTCTTGCCTTTTGCACAAAGTTACCAAGAAGATGGTATCAAGGTGACTGCCACGTAAGGCTTGTGCCAGGCTAAGTCAAGCAGAAATTCCCAGCATTTCACTGGTGGAAAGAATGGCTGTAAAGAAAATGTCATCTATGGAGTCATCTATCAAAAGCACTGTTAGGTGTTTGATGTCCTGTATGCATATCTTTGATAAAGCTCAACATAAAAAAATTACTTCCCTTAAGCCCCGAATCAGTAATGCTGTGCCAGTAATTTCAACTTCTCCTCCTAATGCCTTTGGAAGCATTTTTCTGCATAAACACCTCATTTTTATTACTGGAAACCTGTAGGAGTGAGGTGATGGGACCTGAGGTTTTTTCAGTGATGGCAGGAGATGCAGTGGGACAGGTAGTGGTGGCCTGAGAAGAGCCACAAACCACTGTCCTTCGCTGACTTTGGCAAAAAGTTGCTGAGGTTGCTGAGCCTGACTGGAGGAGGTAGTGCTCAGCTGGCAATGTGAGAGGGCTGTGTGAGGGAGCCACAGAGAGAAGGCAGTACTCTTGCCATTGCATCAGCCACAGGACACTCAGGCTCTCCTTGTGCTCTGCAGCACTGGCCAGGCAGTGAGTCTCAGTCACCTTCCTCTCATCAGCTCTTCCTTAGCCTCTCCCCTGTGAGGACAGGCTGAGGAAGTTGGGGCTGTTGAGCCTGGAGAAGAGAAGGTTGTGTGGAGACCTCAAAGCACCTTCCAGGAGCTGAAGGGGCTCCAGGGAAGCTGCAGAGGGATCTGTGTTAGGAGCTGCAGGGACAGGACAAGGGGCAATGGGCACAAATGGAAAGTGGGAAAATTTAGGTTACATATTAAGAGGAAGTTTTTCCCTGTTCTGGTGGTGAGACACTGTCCCAGGTTGCCCAGGGAGGCTGTGGCTGCCCCACCCCTGGCAGTGTTCACAGCCAGGTTGGATGAGCCTTGAGCAACCTGCTCTGGTGGGAGGTGTCCCTGCCCAGGGCAGGGGTTGAGGCTGGATGATCTCTAAGCTCCATTCCAACCTCTAACATGATTCTATGATCATCAACAAAGGAGGGACAAAGGAGACCAAGACAGGCAGGGCCATGTGGACAATAAACAGTTTATTACCAATATGAACACAGATACTGTGATGCACTGACGTACCATTTTTTAATATTGTGATAACTCTGAGACAAAGAACTTGTTGGCTGACAACTAAACATGTCTCTCTTTCTTCTCATGATGCCTCAATACATTTCTGTTGGCAAAGGATCTTCATTTACATTGCAGACTACTAGTAAAATTACTTTGAAGTCATCTATCAAAAGCAAATGGTTCACGTGTTCTTATCTACTACTAAAAAGAAAGGTAATACATTTAAATAAGCAAATACAAAATACAAAAAGGCTGACAAATCCAATGTGCAGTGTCAGATGAAATCTAAAAAATCCAGAAATTTAAAATTTAATAATCTTTAGATTAAGACTTTTAAAATGAAGCGAATCCAAGGCAGCAGCAAGCTTCAAAGTGTGCTGAGTCTGCTAATAAAAAGGGTGTAAGAACAAAGACAGTGCCGGTGTCCTCTCTCACCATCTTGCATGACCTTGGTACACTTAGAAATGATCCAATCTTCCTAGCATTCTTAGTACCGTCCAAATGCTTTGCAATCATTATGTTGTACTGATTCTACTCAACTCCTGCCGTATGGCTAGAAAATCAAACCAGAAAGTTAGTGCACAGTGTTAACATCCAGGGGGATGGGCAATGCTAAGTGCAGAGGCTGCAGGAAGTACACGCTGCTAAAAGGATGAGTGGAGGGTAAAAGGATGAGTAAGGGTAAGCAGTCAGCTGTTGGCTTGCAAACTGCAGTACTACTTCCACAAGTTGCATCCGTGGTGCATGTGAATGCCTTATTTTGCACTGGAATGAACTAGGGAGGCTCTGAGGGCCAAGCTGCTGGGACAGTAGCATGTGGGCAAGGGTCCCTTCAACTGCAAACTGCCCTGAGGTTTGGTGAGCAAGGGGATAGGGAATGGATTTTAGCTGTTTTACAGTCTCTTTTTCCCTTTCTGTGTGAATCTAAGGTGGGGAGTGCAGGGTGTGGACATACATCATATGCCCTAATGTAGGCTTCAAACAGGAGTTTCACTGTGCTTTTCAACAATGGCCCTGAGAAACACCTTCAGCAGAGCAATTGATAGACCAGTACCGATACATTTGGTACAGCTCTGTACTTTTCAATGAATTATAAAAATATGTGGCTATTTGGAAAGCTGTAATAGCTCTGAAATAGCTCTTCTAGCATAGGAAGCCTACAGAAGATTCTTGGGAAGGATTTTCTTGTCCCCTCCTTACCCCAGACCTGTGTGACCAGCTAGTTACAAGCCGATTTCACACTCACTCATTGCCATAAATTGATGTGCCACGGGCTACAGGCAGAGCCTTTGTCACCCTCTCACCTGTGAGAAACACCAGCCAGGGAATTTCTCATAGGTTGGGGGGTCAAAATACCAATCAACAGCCTAAAGGACATAAACACGACGGTACAGTCAGAGCTCAGATAAGGCAGATGCTTGTCCTTCAAGTGTGTGTATAAATCAGAGCTGCTCGGAGAAGTCTGCAAACACCAGGGAACTCTGCAGTTCCTATCATCTTATCTATGGGAAATTAGTCATAAAGATGAGAAAAATATCATTTTTCTCTTTCTTACCATCAATTATCTCCTCTTTCACTTTGTGTAACTCTCTTACAACTTCCTCCAATATTTCCTGATGAGACAAAACACAAGTCAGCTGCTCAGAATTTCCTTCTAACTGGTGGAAGAAAACGCAAGTTTAACATGGTTGTGCTTTTCCCCCACCTCCACTGCTGCTCAGAGCCTAGCACTGCTAACAGCTACGTCTGCACTCCGGGCCACGGATGCAGAACATGCTGGCATATTTCTTTCCACACTTCTGTACAGACACACTGAGGAACTAGCAGTGAGATCTTGCTCTCGTGCTGCTCACCAGCTAGCCCTTCTCTAATCGCCTAGTTGCAGAGGAAATCAGCAGACTGAAGAGCTGTTTTGCCTGTACAGCGCATGCATGGGGGAAAATGGGTAGCTCATCAAACCTCTTCAGTGCCAAAGACCTTTTCACTCACCTGTTTCATTCGATCAAAATCTAAGGCATCCATAGCCACATCATTGCTGCTGCTCACTGGCTTCATCCTTGGGAAATGGAAGAAGAGCATAAAAAAGCCAATCAGTTCCTTGGAATGTGTGCTAAGCGACACACACCTGATGGTGTGGAGGAAATCCACCCCAGAGCAGGAGCACACATGTTTGAGGACTGGACAGGAGGTTCCCTGTTATGTTGCTCAGGAGTGTTTGGCAGCCAGAGAGCAGCACTGCTCCCCTTTGCACAGCCTGACCCTCAGAGCTGCCACAAGATTTCTCCTGTTGCAGATATATTGGAGGGAGCACAAAGACTGCACTGAAATGAACTCTGTTCTCCCATCAGCAACCCTGTCTCAGCCACCTAGGCTTTACCTGGCTGCTGAAGGAATAGCAGATTACAGGTTAGAAGAATATTATAGGGAAAATAATAATTAGTAGTCCTTGGAAGACCTGACTGAGTCAAGTTGTGGCCTGCTGATAGCACTGTTATCACAGTCACTTTTTATTGACCCAGAAACAAAACCAGTGGCTTAATGGCTAGTACACCTGAGTGTTACCTGTCTCTCAGCATGGGATTAGTCAGTGGGCTGAACTAGGATGATGTTTGATAAAATAAGGAAGCAGAAGCTGCTTGCCTTTCTCTTTTAAACAGTCTCTCTAAAACATTAAAAAACCCCAACCTAACCATGCCATGCAAAGGTTTCAAATAACTTTGCCATCATCTTTGAGACCAACCTAACCATGCCATGCAAAGGCTTCAAATAACTTTGCCATCATCTTTGAGCCCAAACTGGGAGCTGGTGGAGATGCTGCTGCTTCTGAGGGTTCACTTGATTTTGCAACCCTTTCTTGGGAAATCTTGACGTGTCCTACCATCTCACAACTAAGATGGGAATTAAGACAGATACAAATGCCACCAAGCTGACCAGGAATGAAAACAGGTGATCACCAAGATGTTTAGATGTTAAACCTGCTCCACTTCCCTCACAGAAGTCTTTCAAGCAAGGACTACTACTACTGAGCACTACTCCAGGTGCTAAACTAGGAAAGCATTTTTTCCCACTGAACTCCTCCTCCCAGGATGGAATGGCATTACAGTTAGTGAAATGTGATGGCTGCTTTAAATAGCCAACATTTCATTCCCATTTGCAAGGACAAGAAATGGTGTTTCTGTATCTATTTGAAACTCATCTGTTTCCTAGAACCAACATGTGCCATTGGCTTTAGGAGAGCTGGGGAAACTATATTTTGCTCTAGTAATACTGATGCATCCCTCTGAATGCTTGGGCAGGGCATGCTACAGCATTTTTAACACAGCAGCAAGTACATGCAGATAGTTGCCATTGGCAACTTTCTCTCTGCAGACTGTCAGCATTGCTGTATCCCTAACAGTGTAAAATCAGGGACATCTCTGCCGAACATATGTAAGCTTGTGTTCTACCTCCTTACTCACATCTCTGCTAAACATACGTAAGCTTGTGTTCTACCTCCTTACTCAGCTTATCCATTCATCTCAGTGTCCAGTAATACTGGGTGGTCCTGGCCCAGCACTGGAAGTCTCTCTTTAGCTGTCCAACACCAAACTTCATCTCAATCTCTGTGATTAAAAACATGGGTGCCAATCCTGCAGCTTGGCTGTTCTGACTGACAGGATTTCTGGATAAACATACGTAAGCTTGTGTTCTACCTCCTTACTCAGCTTATCCATTCATCTCAGTGTCCAGTAATACTGGGTGGTCCTGGCCCAGCACTGGAAGTCTCTCTTTAGCTGTCCAACACCAAACTTCATCTCAATCTCTGTGATTAAAAACATGGGTGCCAATCCTGCAGCTTGGCTGTTCTGACTGACAGGATTTCTGGAGTCCTACTTTAGGTTTCTTGGCTTTTGACACCTGCCAACTTTTGTACCCCATATGTCTGAATACCCTATCTGTGGCTGAGCCTTTTTACAGCTTGATTTGTTTAATATACTGCACCAAGCTTTGCTCTCCTTTCTCATGCACCCACTGCAGTTGCATGTGTGGGAGAACAAATTCCCTTATTCTAGTTGGAGCCCCTTCAGATCATTTCTGCTTTGGCTTTTTAATTTCTGCAGAGCTTGGGCAATACAAGCTTCACCTCTTGGCAGGGTCACCCTGAACCTGCTGTGAAATGATGCCCGAAAACCTGCACTGCCAAGCTGCTGTCTCTGATTCACTCACGGATAGTTCAAGCACTTGCTTCAGTGTGATGAACATCTGTGATGCCTGTGCCCAAGTGAGCAGGGGGCTGTTTCCATGGAACAAGCCTTTGACACAACACACTCTACCTTCACACTTTGTGCAGTGACAGACAAAACAGATTGTAAGAGAACAAGTCAAGACGGCAGACGAACGTTAGCGCTGGATGATGGGACTAGCCAGAGGACAAGGCAAGACAGTTAAGCAGTCAGGCTGTTAGCCAGTACCTAGAAGACACGTGGGATTGTGTGGGGCTCTTAGCTTCACAGCTCTTCGCCACTGATGGATTTCTACAGCAATGGAATGAAACGAGACATGAGTTGAGCACAAGCCACGGGGACAGCATGACCATCCCGACTGCTACCAGCCACAGGGACACCCCATGCAGCTCACCTAGAAAGTAATGAAGATACAGGCTTTTCAACAGAATTGCTCCTTTCCCATGGCTTCTTCCCAGAGTCTGGAAAACAAACATGGAAAGTTAGTTCACTATTTTTGCCCTAATGATGAAAACACCCTGAAGTTGATTGTCTTATGCAGCTTCTTTCATTCAGTGAGGAAAGATCCAGAAAAGCTGGATTGCTGAATGAGTTGCCTACATTATAGTGAAAGCATTGGCAAAAATCTGCTTTGTGATCCCTTTAATTAGAGACTGGATAGTTAAACAGTACTAAAAAGACATAGAAATGGAACATGAGGAGGAAAAGCATAAATTCTATTAGGAAATACAGGCTAATTTCTGCAAGGCTTATTTTATTCAGTACAATATTTATTTACCTTTAAAATTTAAAAGTCTTAAGTTTTTTTTGGTCTGCGTAGTTGGGAGAAAATGTGGGTATATCTAAAAAAAGGGCAGTGAGACCCCACTACACAGATCTCCACAGAGCATTTATTTACTGCTGTCTACATGTCCAACTCATGGAACATTCCCCAGAACTGCACCATATAACCCTTGTTACTGAAAACTCTTATTATTGCCCCAATCTCCTCCAAAAATGAACTGTTTCAGAGACATGAGTTACATACAACTTCATATACAAGGATTTGTTCCTCTGTGAGGTCCTAAGAAGCTCCTTAAAAGAATTATGGTACCCCCAGGAAATCTCTAGATCTCATTTCAGTGCACCTTTCTCCTGGCTTCTTCTCCTTCCCTTGCAAAGCACACAGGTTGTGGCTTTGTTCCAAAAGCTGGAATGGTTAAATACTCATTCCCTTGGGAGAGATTTCTTTCAGCATGTGTGAAAGACAAGTCTGATGCAAGGATGAATGTGACTGCTTGCAGCTTAGCCACTCACATAGAGTTATTTCAACTCACCCTAGGAAAAACAAATTTTGGGGGCTGCTTAATTTCATCTACTAACTCTAAGGATCAGGCTTACTGCAACAAGCTACTAGCTTAAGGAAGGATAACAGCTTGAGATCCAAACCCCAACTGTATAAATTAGGATATCTACAGTACAAAAAGTAAAATAATGTGTCTTTCTTTCTCTTAGAATATTTAGATGCAGTGCTGATGACACAGATCCTCAGATACTGGACCCTATTAACTGTCTGAGTCCAATTTTCTTGGCTGTGAAGCACATAAAATCATAATTTCTTGCTGAGTACAAGTTTTAAAGCAACAGTATTTGGGAATTTTTCTGTAGTTCCTGTTGCTGCACTCAGAAGTAGGAAAATGAACCTAGAGTCTAGAGGTGGTGGAGAAGACTAGATTAAGAAGACAATTATAATGCTACTAGTTTGACTTCATACCTGATGAATTTTGCTGCTGCTGGGCAGGGCCTCGTGTACTGGTTGAAGGAGAGGTGCTAGCATCATCCTACAAGAAAAAAACAGGACATTACTGAATTTTGGAGATGAAGTGCAGAGTCCTCTTCTACTCTGGAGAGCAGTTGCAGCACACGTGGTACAAAAGTTGCCTCCAATCATGTCAAACAGGCACTGCTGCCAAGGTGTGGGCTCAAGGCCACTTAAACTTGAACTTTTCTCTCCCTTCAGAATGGCAACATACATCCCTCTTACCTCTATATAGTGAACCAGGCTGAAACCACTCTAAAGTGGTGGCTGCTGTTGCCTAAATACAAATCACCCATTTCCCAAATTGAGAAACTCTCTGAGATGTGGAAACTGAGCCATCTAAGGAACAGGAGCTCAGATCCCAACCTTTCAGCCCAGGACAACCACTGGCATCAGTGAGAGGAGACCAGGTAGTAACAGAATGTAACTAAATCATAGAATCATAGAATTTTAAGGGTTGGAATGGACCTTAGAGATCATCTAGTCCCAACCCCCTGCCCTGGGCAGGGACACCTCCCACCAGAGCAGGTTGCTCAAGGCTCAGCCAACCTGGCTGTGAACACTGCCAGGGTTGGGGCAGCCACAGCCTCCCTGGGCAACCAGGGACAGGGTCTCAATCAGTGCTTCTCCTAAGTAGAAGATTAAACACTTCATCACAGACCTGGACTCTTTCATCTGGGATTTATGTGTGACAGACCCTGAACCATTCATCCATATATTTGACATGACAACACTATTTAGCAGCCCTTAAAACATGTTCAGGCAAAGCACTAACTATGCATTGTGAAATGGAATTGTACCCAGTTTGACAGAAGATACTCTGACCACAGGGTGTACCTGAGACACAAATTTAAACAGATGATCTCTAAAACACCTCTCTAAACAGTTTGGTGCTAGCAAAAAGTTTTGATTGGGGATATAAACTAATGCAGAGCTTCAAGGAGAGAGAAAGAGGCACAGAAAGACAGCAGAGCCTTAATAGTTAGGAGCTATACGGTGCCTTTCATCTCCAAGTGTATGGTTCAGACTCAGCTCTGGGGCAAGATTAAGGGCAATGGTTGCACAGTGGGTTCAACAGGCAAATTCCACACTTGAAGCATCCTTTGAGGAACATGCAAAAAATAGCTGCTTTCTCCCTAAACAGTGCAAAGTGCTTATTCCTCTCTTGCTACAAACCTTTCAGACTGGGGTGAGACCTATGTTTTCTGAATGGATTTCTTACTGAGCAGCTGTTACTTTGTCTTCATAGGGAACATCTCTGTGTAGGCAGTATGAGGCACACAGGATGCTTTATGAACTTGCATCCAGGGCAGAAAGGCTTCACAAGGGTTGCA